TACGCTCTCCCCGGCTCTCCGCAGACGGTCTGCGAACCCCTGACCTGGGGCAGGGCCTCACCCGCAGGGGTAGAGGTGAGGGGGTAAGGGGACCAATGCTGCCTCCACCCTCAGCCACCTGGCAATGTCTGGGGACGTTTTCCAGGGTGATCGGCGCAGGCATGCATGTGTGTGGAGGAGGGGGTGCTACTGGTATGTAATGGGAGGAGCCCAGGGACACTGTTAAAAGCCCTGTGACGCACAGGACAGCCCCCAGCAGAGAAGGAGTGACCCGATGCCAGGACCGCCGTGGCTGACTCTGCCCCGGGCCCCTCGCCTGCCCGGACCACAGCCCCTCGGCAGAAGGGCCCAGGTGTCACTAGCCTCTCAGCGAGGGGCCTTGCGTGTTTAGCTTTGGGTGGGGGCGGTGGGCAGGGCTGTTTTTAGCCTCAATATCTATTTATTAAGATTTTTATTTTCCCCAAATTTTGGAGTTGGGGGAATGGGATGGGGCTCTACTTGGCTAGGTTCCCAGAGCCAGAGCAGACCCCAAAAACTGGTCCCACTTCCTGAAGGCCGGCTCAGTAACCCCCACCCACCCCGGGAGGCGGGAGGGGCTGCTCAGGCTTTGACCTTGGGACTCCTACCCCTGGCAAGGGCAGGGCCCCCACATTCCTCCTCTGGGCTCTAAGCTCCATAGCGCACAGTCCCACCAGGAAGCCACCTGCCCACTCAGACACCGTGCCCGCACGCGCCATGAATAAGGAGACCAGACGTCCCAAACTGTTGAAAATCGGGACTGTCCAGCCAAAAGCGGGACGTCTGGTCCCCTTAGCCATGAAACCACCTCGGAGACAGTCCACTCAAGTGTGCCCGGAGCAGGTGCAGCCTTCAGTGGCCCTGAGGGGTCCGGGCGATGGGAAACCCCAGCTGTGCACAACTAAGGGAGCTGCCCGGAGGTCCTGGTCCATTCTGAGGCCTCCCACTCACTCAGGTGAGATTTCTTTTTTTATTTTTATTTTTTATTTTATTGATCTTAGCGAGGAAGGGAGAGGGCGAGAGAAACACCAATGATGAGAGGGTATCACTCATTGGCTGCCTCCTGCACACCCCCTTCTGGGGATCAAGCCCACAACCGGGCATGTGCCCTTGGCCGGAATCCAACCTGGGACCCCTCAGTCCGCAGGCTGGCGCTCTATCCACTGAGCCAAACCAGCGAGGGCATCAGGTGAGATTTTTTAAAATATATTCTATTCATTTTTTATAGAGAGGAAGGGAGAGGGATAGAGAGCTAGAAACATCGATGAGAGAGAACATCCATCAGCTGCCTCTTGCACACTCCCTACTGGGGATTTGCCCGCAACCAAGGTACACACCCTTGACCGGAATCGAACCCGGGACCTTTCAGTCTGCAGACCGAGGCTCCATCCACTGAGCCAAATGGGTTTCGGCTTTGAAAACCTACGGTGGGCCAGGTAGGAGTCTAGGCACCTGGGATCCAGAAACAAGCCAAGTCACAAGCTCTCTGCGCATTCGGATCCTGGCCAGGGAGACAAACAATAAGCAAGCAGGTGGGGTACATCAGGAAATTACAGAGTGGGGAAAGCCATCGCACGATGGAAAGCCAGGAGGTGAGCGAAAGGCTGCAGGGGGTGAAGCTCAGGGGGGAGGTGATGGTTGGAGCAGGTGAGGAAGCATAAGCCTCGCAGAGACCTGGGTGAGGGCCCAGAGGGAAGGACAGCCAGCGCCAAGGTGCTGGAGTACAACCACACTTTGCCTGTTGGAGGGGCAGCAAGCAGAGGGTGGGCAGAGGGGAGGGGGCGATGGGGGAGGTTTTGCAGAGTTGGAGCCCGGGACACCCCACACCTGGGGTCACTATAGTGCTAGAAGGCAGGGGGCTGTTCCTCCCCAGCTGGGACCCTGGCTGCTCTGAAGGAAGAGACACACGCCTTCTCCCCAACTTCTCCTGTGGCATGAGCCATCGACTGGAATCCTTTATGTCACTAGACGGTGAGCTCCATGAGGGCAGGACCGGGGCACTGTCCCCGTGGCACTGCCAGCATGGCACCTGGCAAACGGGCACAGATTGCCTGATTCCGAGGAGCCTGGGACGCACACGCCTGGGTGCATACCGGCAGGTGCTGGTCACACACTCACACACACACACACACACACACGCGGCCGGCCCCTCTGCGAGGCTCACAGACACCGGAACCCAGGAGGCCCCGAGAGACACATGGCCACACGCTGGTCCAGCCAGGTCACCACCCAGTCGCTCGCAGGACAGGTACACACAGGTGCGGACGGACGGACGGACGGCGGACAGGGCTGGGTTTCCCCTACCCGGGGACCCCACTCGTCTCTTTCGTTAGGGTGGCCGAGACCCAGCCCAGGAGGGGTGCTGGCTGGAGCATGCACCGCCAGGGTCACCGCGGTCAGGGCTGGTGCCAGGCCCAGGGAAGCCCCGTCTCGGGAGCCCCTCCCCTCCCTCCCCACGGAGGGGCCCGGAGGAGGGGCAGTGTCTGGCGTCTGGAAACCGGATCCTCGAGAGGAGCCCACACAGAAACCAGAGCCTCCATGTCCTTGGCCACCCGTCTGCCTGGAGGTGGTGGGAGGGGGGCGCAGGGACCATGATGGGGCTCCCAGTGGCCAGCAAATGGGCGAGGGAGGGAGGGGAGACGGGGATCCCACTCCGATTCCCCACTAAGGACACCCACTCGAGGGCACAGCAAGTACAACTTCCTGGGATCCGAAACCCAACTCCAGATGCCCACCCTGGGGCTGAAGCGCCACCCACCTCCCGTCAGCCGGGGGCGCGCAGGGAGGACAGGCACAGAGATGCAGACGACACAGAGTCCGCACACGGGTCTCCCATCCCCAAGGCCCAGCCTCAGGAGCAGCCCGGCGCCGGCCGGCCCCTCCCCAGCACTCGCAGGGTCCTCCTCGGATCCCCCTAGGAGAAGGGGTTCCCCGGGGCAGGCCGGGAATAGAGCTGGGTTTGCGTCTCCTGCTCTCCGCCTCCTCCCGGCAGGGCCCGCAGCCCAGATGCTCCGGTCCCCAGCTCCCCACCCTGGCACCATCTCCACACCCAGGCCAGGGCGGCCATCAGCGCGCCCTGGCGCTCAAGCCCTAAGCCGGGCCCCCTCGCCACGAGTGGGGCTCGGGGCCAGCGCCCTGGGGTGGGCAGCCGGAGAGCGCGAGGGACAGGCCTGGGGTGGGCTGAGGCCCTGCAGGAGGTCACGGAGGAGGAGGAGGAGGAGGAGGAGGAGGAGGAAGAAGGGGATGCCAGCTCTAGGGCTGGCGCTGCCATGTGCACGGGCACGCGTGTGGCATGGTGCACGGGTGAGATTACCGCCAGCCAGGGACCGAATCAGTTCCCTTTTCCTCTTTCCAGATGACTTTTCATCTCCGTAATTAATGGGCAAGTCAGTTCTGAACGGCGTGGCAGGCAAATTGCTAGTTAGGAAAATCACGGATAATTTTCTCGATATGATAATGAAGGTTGCATTCCTTCTCTTATTCTCCCCCCTTTTCATCCCGCTTTTAAGTCATCAGTTCAGCATTAGGAGGCAGGGAGCGGGGAGGAAGGCGCAGTCAACCGGCCGCACCGCTGGGGCCGGGCCGGGCCCACCCGGAGGGAGTCCAGCCCCTGGCCCTGGGCAGGCGAGGATGACAGCCCGACCCTCTGTGGGGCGCCCTGGCACCCAGTGATGGATGCAGGGTGCCAGCCTGGGAGACCCTCGAAGGGCAGGGAGCCAGGCCCACTGTCAGCCCGGGGGAGGAGCTGGGTCTGGGGTCGGGTTACAGGCTCTGCCGGCCCCCAGGTGCCCAGGAGGGGAGACCCGAGGCCCCTCTAAGCAGCATCTGAGGTCAGCGGCCCGGAGCAGACACCCACTCAGGTGCCCACACCTGTGCCCGCATCGCCCCAGCCCCTCTGGACGGTGGCTCCGCAGCAGCCGGGGAAACGGAGCAAGCCAGGAGCCAGCAGAGAGCCGGAGAGGGATGGAGGGAGCGGGGAGAGGGGGAGGCGGGCAGAGGCGACCAGCCATCTTGGCAGCCATCTTGCGCCCCTCCCCCGCTCCCCTCGCACCACATGTCTGGATGTGGGCAGAGGAGCCCGGCCTCAGGGTGCTGCAGGCCCGGGTGAAGGGGGTCCCCGCCCGGGGGCCGGGGGAAGGCCGCCGGTATGGCCAGGACCTGGGGGCAGGAGGCTGCAGACCGAGCCTGGGGAGGGGGACCGGGATGTGGGGAGGCCACGGCCAGGCGGGGTGCTGCCATGAAGTGGGGGCCGGGGAGGCATTTGCTGGGGCGCACACATCGCTCCCCACCCTCCTCTGGCTCAGACTCCAGTCCCAGGACGCCCAGGTGGGAGGATGGGGCCACGAAAACCCCCAGCGCCTGGGGCAGGGGGTGGGCTCGTCCCCGAAGCCCCAATCCCAGGGGTTCCGTCCTGACAGCTTCCCACGCTCCACGGAGCATCACCGCAGGGAGAAGACGCCGGCGGCGGCACCCTCCTCCGGGCCGCGGCGCCCAGACAGCCCCTCCCGCCCCGCGCCCCGCACCCCGCACCCCGCTGCCCGGAGAAAAGCCGCCCCCGGCCCCAAGCCCCGCGGGGCCAGCCCCCGCCCGGCTCCTCCGGGCCCCGGCCCGCGCGGCGCGCACCCGCACCCCCGCTCCCACCCTGACACCCACACACGGCGCCAGCACCGCGCGCACCCGCGCCGGGGACACGCAGCTCCGCCGCCGCTTCCCACAAAGGCCGGCGCCCCCCGCCCCCCGGTCCCCGCGGCCGCCCCTCCGCACCCCGGGCCCGGCGCCCCGCGGGGCCGCTCCGCCCGCCCGTCGCCGGCGGGGGGCGAGGTGCGGGCCGCTCCGGGCTCCCCTCCGGCGGCTCCTCCGGGGTGGCGATCGGCGGCTCCGGAGCCCCCTCCCCCTCCGCGGCCCAGACAGACAGCCCCGGTCCCCATCCGTCCTCCCCCTCGGGGCCCGCACACCTGGCCCAGGTGCCCGCACACACTCACCTGTCCGGCGCCGCTGCGAGCGGGGCCCTGCGCGTCCCTCCTGCGGCTCCGCGGACCCCGGCCCCCCGCCCCGCACATCTCCCGGAACCGGGGCGGGCGGGGGGGAAACGGAGGAGGGGCGGCTGGCGAGGGCGGCCTCCGTGTCCCCTCCTTCCTCCGGCCCCGCACCGCCGCCACCAGCCAAATCACAGAATTAAAAAATGAGGCTCTCGGAGCTCGGGAGGCGGCGGCGGCGGCTGTAGGTGGGGGGCGAGCGGGTCCGCGCCCCTCCGGGGAGGGGAGGGAGGCGGCGGGGCGGGGGCGGCGTCAGAGCTCCGGGGGCTGGGGCGAGGCGGAGCCCCCCGAGGCGGCGCCGGCCGCGGCCTGCATCTCCCCCGCAGCTTCGCGGCTCCGAAGGAGGTGGCACGTGTGCGCCCAGGAGACCTCCCAGCCCCCCCGGCCGGGGGCGGCGGCGGTGGCAGCGGCCGCCGCGGGGTTAACGGGGCCGCGGGGGCGCCCCTGCAGCCCCCCGCCGCCCGGCGGCGCAGCTCCGGGGCCCGCGCGGCCCCATCCGCCGGGGCCTCCTCGGCAGACGGCGGGGCGGGGGCGCCGCAGCGCCAGCAGCTCCCGCGCCGACGGCTCGGGCTCCCCGCAGCGGCCGTGGGGGGCTCAGGTGGGAGGCGGGCGGCGCGGGGCCTGGCGGGGGCGCGGCTGGAAGCGGGCGCGGCGGCGGCGTCGCGCCCCCGGGGCGGCCGGGAGGGGGGCGCCGGGCCGGGCCCGTGGGCACCGCAGGACGCGCGGACCGAGCCGGCGCCGGGCACCAGCAATGACAAGCCGCCTGCTCGCCCCGCTCCCCGGCGCACCGGCTCCGGGAGGGGGCGGCGGGAGCCAGCAAAACCCGGCCCGGAGCCACCGCCCGGGACCGGCGGCTGGAACCTGCCCGGACACACCGAGCGAGGGCCGGCCGGAAAACCCGGACTGGAGCTTCTCCCCTTCGCCTTCTCCGGCCCCCCCTGGGAAAGCGGTGAGAGGAAAGGCAAGATGCTGGATCCCAGCGTTGGAACGGGGAGTGTGTGGGGTGAGGGGGGGGGGCGGGGGGAGAGAAGAGGGGGTGAGAAAGTCGCAGGTACAACCCGGAGCGGATTATACCGGCAGGGAAGGAGAGGCGAAGAGCCCGGCGAGGGGAGGGTTGAGGCGATCTGGAATGGGTATGCAAAACCCGGGTTGGATTAAGGCAGAGACGAGAGGAACCGGGAGAGATGGGGAGCTGCGACACGGCCAAATGCACGCGGGGCACGCAAATTTTGGGCCAGATCCTTCCTCGGGAGACGGAGTAATGCGTCATGCCTAATGCAGTGGAAACAAGGAAGACCTGGTGGTGTGTTCCCGGACCTGTGCTTGCGGGGGGCTCCAGGTGGGGGCCTCTCGGTTGCTGAGGAGGCATAAGCTAGTCCCATCTTTTTTGGCTGCGACGTGCAAGGGGGAGGGGCAAAAGGCGGTCTGGGCCCCGGCAAGAAGGGGCCTGGAGCGCTGACTGCACCGGAGCGGGAAGGTAAAAGCGGTTTCAGGGCCCAGGGGCAATGCGTTGAGGCGGCTGCCACTCTGGGACCACAGACCTACAATGAAAGGCGGGGAAAGACCGCAAAGCCAGGACTGGAGTCCTCGGGACGGGACCAGACACCCCCTCTCCCCCCCTCTTCCCCCAGCAGAAGATCCCGGGTAACGGGACACGGGCCTGGAGCTGGCCGAACACCTGGAGCAGAGGGAAGTGTTGCAGGGAGGTTAGTCTCTAGAAACGCCTCAAACGTCTGATTTTGGGGGTGGGGAGCCCAATGACGAGAGGAGAGGGGGGGAAAAGTGAATTTTAGGTTCTTGGCAAGAGCAAAATCCCGGCACGGATTTCCACAGCCTAGCAACGACACTGCAGCTACTGGGCTTGCAGAAGTAAGGCGAGGATCTGGCGGGGTCCTAGGCGTCTGGCCGAGTGAGGCGAGGGGCAGGTTTCAGGCTGAGGCTGCAGAGGGAGCCCCGCACCCCCTTTCCAGCCCGATCTGGCTTGGATCCCCAGAGCCATCGCAGTGACTGCCAAGACTCGGAGTGGGGGCTCTGAAACCGGGACCCAGGCCAAAAATAGACACTTCAGCAGAATAGACAACTCGGTGCACGGTGGGGGCTGGGCGGAAATTAGCAGGGAGAGGAGTCCTGGCGAGGGGGGTAGCCAAAAGTCCTGAGCGATAGGATCCGGTAGGGACCTGGGGAGGCGGACCTGGAAGTCTGGCTGCTGGCTCCATTTTATGAAAGATGGGTGCTACTGATGGATGGGGAGGAGCAAATACCTGGCTTTGGTCCTTGGGGAAGGGAGTCCATCCAAGGGAAGCCCACATAGTAAAGCAAAGTCCAAAGTAAGGGCTGAGTCTTGGCGGGCCCAGCGTGTCCGTTAATGGGGACGTGAGGAGTCCGGCAGACACATCCAGGTTTGAATTCTAGAGGAGGGGGATGCGCTGAGGATGGGGAGGGGGACAAACCCAATCTGTCTCCGGAGAAGAGAATGCATTGTCAGCCAGGCTTGCTTCTGCATAATAGGTGAGGCACAGGGAGCCTGTGGAGAAGGCAGTGGGAGGGGTTGGGGAGCAGATACACACAATCTGGGGCAGAATTGCCTGGGAACTGGGAGTGTCTAAGGAAGGCGAAGTGTATGAACCTGGCCTCTGAGAATCCCTTCCGAGAAACATGCCCTGGCAGCTGAACTGAGGGAGAGGCAGAGCCACCGGACTTACAGGCTGGCTGGGGGGCCAGGGGTCACCCCTGTGGCACACCCCCACCCTCCACCCTCTTTCATGAACAGTCTGGAACCTGGGTCACAATTGTGCCCCAAACTTGGAGATGGAGGGTGGAGATGGGCCACCTCACCTCCTCCTAAACCTCCCCCCTCCCCCAATGGCTACAAAGCTCTGGCCTTGACTCTGGGTGGCCAGGCCAGACGGCTGGATCTCAGGGACCAAATGGGAAGGAAGCAGAGGTTGATGCGTGCGGAAATGATCCCAACCGCCTGTGTTTGGCAGCAGGTCTCTCGATGATGGGGGTAGGTTGGGGCGTCTCAGTCTTGGAGGTATATCAATAGCACCTGGTAAGACCCATAAGAGGCCTCATGGATGCTGGGGAGTGAGGACAGTGCTTCCGGGGCAACAAGGACACCCACCCGCATCCAGACCGCCAGCTTCCTATACACCCAGCAGGACTGAAAGGGGGCTGGGTTGGGGGACCGGGCGCCTCCAGCATCCTCTGTCTGCAAGCCTCCCCCCACCATCCCATCCTCCCACCTTCCCCTGCGAACCCCAGGAGCCTCTGAGCTCACCTAGGAAAGCTGCGGAGAGGGGTGGCCTTATTTATGGGAGGGGAAGGGGTGGCATGCTTTAAGGAACCTCCGCCTCAATTTGGAAAAATCCCGGCCAGGGCCCCCTCCGAGCCCCTTCTCTTTCTCCCTGGTCGCGACTGGGATCAGTTCGCCAGCCTCCATGCCATTATGGTCCCTGATCGTGGGCCAGGGGCGCGGGAGGCGAAGGATGGGGAGCAGCTGGGGTGCGAGCGAGCCGGCCCCCCTGCGCCCAGACCCTGGCTGCGCAGCCGCAGTGGAAGCCTCCCCCGGCAGCCGGGCTCCTGGAGCCAGCGCGTCCCTGCGCGCGCAGCCGCCAGGCGCCCCGAGTCCCGGACGCCCCGTTCCCCGTGTTCCAGGGCGCACCCCACCTTGTGGCTCCGGACTCTCCCGGCTAGGGTGCCTCGGTGCCCATGAGCCTTTGGACACCCGTGTCCCGTCCACATTCTGTGCATCCGGGGTCCCCACAGCCAGGATGTCCCGTGCCTAGGACACCCCGCGTGTCTTGGGGCCCCTCTAGGCTGTGCCCCTGGCACCTCTGACACCCCGACCTCAGACACCACTCTGCTCACCTGCGCCTTCGGGCTCTCGCTGTGCCCTCCGAGTGCTCACCACTGCCTGGTGTCCTGCACTGACCATCCCGTCCCCTACACGGACCATCCCATCCCATCCCATCCCGGGCTCTGGGCTCCACCCTCCCCTCCCCCATTGCTCCCAATCCTTTGCCTCAGGCGGAGCTCCCCGGTTCCCAGGGCCCTACCTCGGGCTCTGAATGTTCTGCAAGGGGTGAGGGTGCCCTGGGGGGCGGGGGCGGGGGCGGGGGTTGGGGGTGGGTGGAGGTGGGAGGGATAGAAGAAACAGGATTTGTACTCAAGGGAATCAGTACAACGCCCAGGCCTCCACCATCCCAGCCTGTTGTGTATGGGTTTTTTCCTCAGCGCGCGCGCGCACACACACACACACACACACACACACACACAGAGTCATTTCATCATCCAGTTCCTGTGAGCACGCCTTATATCTTCCCCTCACAGAATGCACCGTACATGGTGCAGTGCTACGTGTCGATGACCTAGGGCCCCACAAACAAGACTGGGAGCCCTCCCAAGGGCTCTCCCGTTCCAGTGAGTGAGGTGGGCACAGAGGGCATGATGGGGTTCGCTCTGGAAAGTGACTAGGGTGCCAGGGAGTGGATGGCAGACCCGTCGGAATCTTGAGGGCTGGGCCAGCGTGGTTCTGTGCGTCACTGGCTCTCCTGGAGGCGCCCTGTACTCCCACCTTCAGCAATGCCTGAGCCCCATCCTGTCCACCCCCTCATCCAAATGGGAAGCACCATCAAGGGGTCTCAGCATGGGGCTGGGAGGAGAGGGGGAAAGGATTCATTCCAACCGCTGTCTCTGGGGAGCGGGGAGACCAGTCAGTCAACAAACACTTACTGAGCACCTAATTTTACAGTTAAAACATAGGCTTAGGCCTATATTCGCTGTATACGACTACCCCCCACTTCAAAAAAAAAAGACTTACTTTGCCGTCAAGATCTGCAGGTAATTTTTGTGCAATTTTGGTCTTTGGCCCCCGATTTTTGGTTGACTTTTTTTTCGTTTCAAAAGTCGTCTTATACGCCGGAAAATACGGTACGTGCCAAGCACTGTTCCGAGGGGAGGAACACAGGGCGAACACGGCAGGCAAAGATCCTCTGCTCGTGGGACCGGCATTCGAATCGGGGAGGCAGGTAAGAAACCAGACAGATGAGAGATACGGAATGCCCGATGATAAGGACCACGGGAGAAAATGGAAGAAGGAAGACAGGAGGGCATGGTGAGGGCTGCACCCTAGATAGGGGAGGTCAGGGAAGGCCTGAGAAGGAGGACTTGGATAAAGGCCTGAGGTGATGAGAAAGGAGTGTGTGTGGTGGTGGTGGGGGGCGTGGACCTGGAGGAAGGGTGTTCCAGGCAGAGGGAACATCCCGTGCAAAGGTCCTGAGGTGGAGACGCACTGGGCGTTCAAAGGTGCCACAGGGCCTGTGCAGCCGGAGAAGGTGAGCACAGTGGGTGATGGGGCCGGCTGAGGGGCTGCTGTGCCAGGGGAGGACTTGGGCCTTTGCTCTGAGTGAGGTAGGGACTGTGGAGGGTTCTGGAGCAGAGGAATCTTATGTCCAAACTCGGGTGATCACAGGCACCCTCTGGCCACCCCGGGGAACAGAGTGTGGAGGGCACGCGCAGAAGCTGGGAGCACAGGGCTGGCGGCGCTGACCCAGGCCGTAGCGCTGGGAGCAGTGACGATGCAGGCAAGCGGGGGGTGGTTTGAAGGTGGAGCAGATAGATTGGAAGGTGGATATAAGGGAAAGAGGCAAAGCTGGGGCCGGAGCACCTGGAAGGATGGAGACCATGGAGTGTGTGTGTGTGTGTGTGTGTGTGTGTGATGGGGCGGGGGGGGGGGGGGTGAAGCGCAGGGGAGGCAGGGGGTTGGAGGTTATTTAGATCCAAGAGTTGGTTTGGTAGATGTTAAAGTGGAGGTGGCTGTGGTGCCTGGGAGAGGCCCAGGTAGCTGGCTGAACACCGACAGTCTTATTTACTCATATATATATATATATATATATATATATATATAATTGATTTTTTACAGAGCAGAAGGGAAAGGGATAGAGAGCTAGAAACATTGATGAGAGAGAAACATCCGCCAGCTGCCTCTTGCACACTCCCTACTGGGGATGTGCCGGCAACCAATGTGCATGACCTTGACCGGAATCGAACCTGGGACCTTCCAGTCCGCAGACCGACGCTCTATCCACTGAGCCAAACCGGTTTCGGCTCATTTCCTCTTTATGATGACCCTATGAGGTGGGTACTTTCTCCCCCGGTTACAGGAGAAGAGACGGAGGCTTCCGAACTCTCCCAGAGAGATGAAATACAGCCAGGTTCTTAGCCAAGCCTGCTCGACCCAGGGACTCGGCCCCGTGGAGCCCCTGCTGGCCATGCAGGGAGCAAGAAGAGGGGCCACGTGGTTGTGGTTGTCTGGTTCCCAGCTGCCCTCCTCCTCGTCGATCCGTCCTCACACACCTGTGAGCACCAGGCCCCAGCCAGGGCTGGCGTTAGAGTGAGGCACTTCGGGGCTACAAACCTAAGAGGATGCCAAAAATTTCCAGTAATTAAGAGAAATAATATTGCAATGCAATATTTAAAAAATCCAAAATCATGCCAAAAATCCATGGTGACCAAAATAACCAACTTTCAAAATAAACACAGGATCAGTGAGAGTGCCGTGCGCAGTCATGCTGGGAAGGAAAAGCCAGGGGTACTGAGGCAGTCTTTTTCTTTTAATATATTTTATTGATTTTTTAAAAATAAATTTTTATTGTTCATATTATTACAAATGTTCCTTTCCCCCCCTCCTCCATTGTTCTCCTCCACCAGGTTCCCACCCTATTTTATTGATTTTTTACAGAGAGGAAGATAGAGAGTTAGAAACATCGATGAGAGAGAATAATCGATCAGCTGCCTCTTGCACACCCCCTACTGGGAATGTGCCTGCAGCCAAGGTACATGCCCTTGACTGGAATCAAACAGGACTTTTCAGTCCACAGACCGACGCTCTATCCACTGAGCCAAACCGATTTTGGCCTGAGGCTGTCTTTCTATTGAAGATTTCAACATTTTGTTCAGCGTGGATTTATGCTTTGTTTGTTTGTTGTTGTTTGCATGGATTTTTTTTTTTAAATCTTGCATTAAACCATGGTTTATCTTAGTGGTTGAGTTTTGGACCTGATCCTGACCCTGGTCCCAGGCCATGGGTGTGACAGTGAACAAGAGGCACAAAGTCACTGCCCTCCTGCAGCTCACACTTCCTTTGGGAACCACGTGATTTCTTAGCAGCAAGAAGAACCTCTCAGAATGGGGTCGATGTTACGAAGGAGAAAGCCATGAAGAGTCCTGAGGCGGGATGTGGATGAGTATGATTCAGGCTGAGGTGAGGGGGCACCTCTCTGAGGAGGAGGCACTGAGTCGAAGCGACCATCGTGTGTGGTACAAGAAGAGGGAGCAGTGCCCTAACCGGTGTGGCTCAGTGAATAGAGCATTGGTCTGCGGACTGAAAGGTCCCGGGTTCAATTCCGGTCAGGGGCACGTGCGGGCACACCCCAGTGGGGGGTGTGCAGGAGGCAGCTGATCAATGTTTCTAACTTTCTTTCCCTCTCCCTTCCTTTCTGTAAAAATCAATAAAATATATTTAAAAAAAAAGAAGAAGAAGAAGAGGGAACAGTAAGTGCAAAGTCCCTGAGGTCAGAACAGGTAGAACTATTTGAAGAGCCAAAGCGTCATCGAGGTGAGACCACCAAGCGCACCTCAGGTGTCATGGGAGGGTCTGGATTAGATTTTCAGTGATGGGGGACCCCAGGAGGGAGGTTTGAGGGGGTGGGAGGTGACATGACCTTATTTACATGTTTGAAAGATTATAGGAGAGGTTCCTCGGTTAATACGACACTGAATTACCGTAGGACCTAGCAATTCCACTCTTAGTTATATGCCCAAAAGGACTGAAAACAGGTACTCAAGTAGATCCTTGCCCACTACCGTCCACAGCAACGTTATCTACAAAAGCTAGGAGATGGGAACAGCCCAATGTCGGTCCATGGATGAACAGATAAACAAGCTGCATAGCCACGCAAGGGAATATTATTCTGCCATAAAAGGGAAGAAGTTCTGACACACAAAACATGATGATCCTTGAAAACATGAAGCTGAGTGGGAACAGTCAGACATAAAAGGCTAGCTATGGTGTGATTCCATTTCTGTGCAATGCCTGGAATCCACAGAGAAGGAGAGCAGAGTGCCGGCTGCCAGGGGAAGGATGGGGAGTGACTGCCCGGCGCATGGAGTTTCCGTCTGAGATGATGAAACTGCCTGCGAACAGGACAGAGGTGGTGGTTGCACACCACTGAGATTGTGTTAAAGGCCGCGGAACTGTTCGCTTTAAAATGGTGAGAGGTCAGCCGAAACCGGTTTGGCTCAGTGGCTACAGCTGCGGACTGAAGGGTCCCAGGTTCGATTCCGGTCAAGGGCATATGCCTTGGTTGCAGGCACATCCCCAGTAGGGAGTGTGCAGGAGGCAGCTGATCGATGTTTCTCATCGATGTTTCTAGCTCTCTATCCCTCTCCTTTTTTCTCTGTAAAAAATCAATAAAAAATATATTTCAAAAATAATAAAATAAAATAAAATGGTGAGTGGTTAATTTTATGTTATGGGAATTTTACCTCAACTGAATCCAAATTACAAGGAATTTGAGAGGAGTACAGGGGACTGGGGAGGGGGCCGCCGTGGCCAGTTGAGGTGAGAGGGGATGGGAGGTCTGGGCATGAGGCTAGGGAGCCGTGTTCAGATGGAAAGCATAAACTGGAGGCAGAACCAACAGGATCCCTTCAGCTCTGCATTCCTCCCTCCCCACTTCACCAGGACTGCTCAAACCTCGCCTCTCTATTAAAAACTGCAAATAGCCCTAGCTGGTTTGGCTCAATGGGTAGAGCATCGGCCTGCGGACTGAAGGGTCCCCGGTTCAATTCCGGTCAAGGGCACATGCCCAGATTGTGGGCTCAATTCCTAGTCCAGGACGTGAAGGAGGCAGCCAATCAATGATTCTCTCTCGCCATTGATGTTTCTCTCTCCCTCTCCCTTCCTCACGGAAATCAATAAAAATATATTACAAAAATAAGTAAATAAAAATGAAAAGACCTGAGGGGAAAACTGCAAACACACCGCGGCTCACTCCTCAGCTCTCCTCTCCCCTTTGTTCCCTCCTGCAGCGTTTTCCACCGTACCTATTTTTGTTTCATTTGTCTCTGTCCCTGGAATACCAACTCCCCCAGGCCAGGATTTTTTGTTTCCTGTCCACTGCTGGATTCTCAGCACCTAGAACTGGTCCTGGCACCTCATAGGTGCTCAGGACAATGCAGGCGGGTGGAAGAGAGCGAGAATCCTGCAAGCAGTCCTGGTCCTGCCTGAGCAGCGGGCAGGCCTGCCGGTCTGTTCCCAGTTAGGCGCTGAGAGGGTGGGCGGGGGGCGCATTCAGGCTGCGCTTCTCCCCGAGGCCGCTAGGGGCCGCTGCCCCGCTGCTCTGCGGCCGCCAGGTGAGGAGGCCCGGTCCCTGCCCCCCAGGTACGCGGAGGCGTGGCGGGCGGGGGTCCAGGGGAGCAGGGTGAAGAGCACAGAGATGTAGACGGTGTAGGGGGAGGGAGAGAAGTGGGGGGTGAAGGGAGAGAGCTGAGCGCGTCTGAAGTGGGAGCTGCGGAAAGGGAGGGGAAAGAAAGCCCTGGAGGCGCTGGAGGCCTGAGAAGGTGAGGAGAAGGTCAGCTGGGTGATTGGGAGGGAGGAGGGGTGGGGAGGGGAGAGCTGAGGGGGTTGGCAGAGAGCCGGGTTCAGAGGAAAGCATCCAGGGCAGAGCTGGGGAGGTGAGACAGGTGCGCAGGTGAGGAGTCTGGGAGAGTCCCGGGGAGGGGCCGGGACTGGGAGACACCTGGACAGAGCATGGGCATCGCTGGGATGTTGGGGGGTAGGCCTGGCCTGTGGAGAGTTAAGGACCCTAGGGAGAGGGCCCTGCCCTTTGCCAGCCTTGGCTGGCATGGACTTTGGCAATAAAGGTGCAGGGAACTCACTCGGACCTCTGGGGCCCGGCCCCTTTGGGCCAGTGTCTGAGGAGTGTGGTCTGTAGGCCAAGCTCATCCTAGGAGCCCAGTCCGCTTCTGCAGAAGGGAGGGCCAGGCCGGTGTTTTATTCAGCCTGACATGAGGTCTCTCCCTCTCGCTCCTTCGTGCCCTGTGCCCCATGGCCAGTATTCTCTGTGCATTGAGCGAGGTGGGGGGCAAAAGGACGTGGTCAAGAACTCCTCAACACATGTGAGGGCTGGCCGACGGGGGGGGGGGGGGGCTGTGGGGGAGGATAGCTGGAGGCCCTTCCTGGCCAGGGGGCTCAGAGAAGCCTGCCCAGAGGAAGAGATCTGTAAGAGAGAACACGCTGAAGACAAGAGGCCTTGGTGGTCTGGGCAGAGAGGAAGTTCTGAGGATGACTGTTGCCAAGAAAAATGGCAGCAGGGTCCAGACAGCAAGGCAATAGGGAGTGGCGGGGCTTGTGGCAACCTGAAAAACACCTGCCAGGTCTAAAGGCTCAGAAATAGAACAGAGTTGGGAAGGTTGTTGAGAAGGAAGGAGAGAGTCCCATGGAGGTCAAGGCCATGGCCACAGGAAGGTAGAAAGGGATTCCTGACCTTGCATGGGCCCAGGACAGGGGCTGCAAAGCCAAATGGCAGCGAGGAGACAAAAACGCAGAAATGATACACTGCTGGTGGGAATGCTGACTGGTGCAGTCACTGTGGAGAACAGTATGGAGTGTCCTCAAAAAACTAAAAACGGAATCCCCATTTGACCCAGTGATCCCACTTCTAGGAATATATCCCAAGAAACTAGAAACACCAATCAGAAAGGATATGTGCACCCCTATGTTCATAGCAGCACAATTCACCATAGCTAAGATTTAGAAACAGCCTAAGTGCCCATCAGCAGATGAGTGGATCAGAAAACTGTGGTACATCTACACAATGGAATACTACGCTGCTATTAAAAAGAATGAATTCGCTGAAACTGGTTTGGCTCATTGGATAGAACGTCGGCTTGGGGACTGAGAGGTCCCGGGTTCGATTCCGGTCAAGGGCATGTACCTTGGTTGCGGGCATATCCCCGGTAGGGGGTGTGCAAGAGGCAGCTGATCTATGACTCTCTCTCATCGATGTTTTTAGCTCTCTATCTCTCTCCCTTCCTCTCTGTACAAAATCAATAAAAAATATATTTAAAAAAAAGAATGAATTCTTACCATTTGCAACAGCATGGATGGAGCTGGAGAGCATTATGCTAAGTGAAATAAACCAGTCGGAGAAAGATAAATATCACATGATCTCACTCATTTGCGGAATATAACGAACAACATAAACTGATGAACAAAAAACAGATACAGACAGAGAAGCATCGATCAGACCATCAAACCTCAGAGGGAAGGCAGAGGAGGGTGGGGTAAGAGGGAGAGATCAACCAAAGGACTTGTATGCATGCATATAAGCATGGCCAGTGGTCACAGACACCAGGGGGTGAGGGCATGTATGGGAGTGGGGGGGAGGGGCATGGGGGATATGGACCTTAATCAAATTTTAAAAAATCAATAAAAATACATGAAAAAAAGTTTAAGAAATGCAGAAACGAGGTAGGTGTGAGGCTGTGAGGGGGAGGTGGCAGTGGCGAGGAGCTGGAGACACCTCCTCCTCTTAAGCTGGCCGCTGCTTGCTCCTCCTCGCCTCCGCTGGGAAGGCAGGCTCGGAGCTGCCAGAACGGTTATTAGGGGAAGTCGGGGTTTTTGTGCCAAGTTCCTCGAGCACAGAAATTGATCTACTAAAGTGCCATTGCTCCGGCCTCGCAATTCCATCCCTGTTTGTTCTCCGAAACACACAGACCCAGTGTTCATGGCAGTTTGGCTCATCGCCGCCGATGTTGGTCTGTGGCCATCAACTGGCAAAAGGAAAGTAAGTCAGGGTGTAGCCGGGCTGTGGAATACCGCGCAGCCATGAAAAAGAATGAACAACGAATACATGCAGAGGGAAGGGCTCTCTAGACAATGTTGAGCAAAAGTGTAAGGCAGAGCCGAAACCCGGTTTGGCTTAATGGACAGAGCGTCGGCCTGCGGACTCAAGGGTCCCAGGTTCGATTCTGGTCAGGGGCATGTACCCTGGTTGCGGGCACATCCCCAGTAGGGGGTGTGCAAGAGGCAGCTGATCGGTGTTTCTCTCTCATCGATGTTTCTAACTCTCTATCCCTCTCTCTTCCTCTCTGTAAAAAATCAATAAAATAAAAATTTATATTTAAAAAAGTGTAAGACAGAGAACAGGATGGACAACGGGGTGCTGTGACATGTTCCCATGGCATTCAGGGGCGGGCAGGAGTCATCTACGGAGTGCCTCAGGGGTCCACTGAACTGAGGTTCCCTAATGGTGGTGCTCTGGACTTTGTGATTCTTCATTGTGGGAGGGGGGGCATCCTGTGCATTGGAGATGTTGAACAGCATGCCTGGACTTTATTTTTTAATGAATATTTAAATATATTTATTGATTTCAGAGAGGAAGGGAGAGGTAGAGAGAGCTAGAAACATGAATGATGAGAAAGAATCGTTGATGGGCTGCCTCCTGCATGACCCCCTCCTGTGGATCCAGCCCACAACCCTTGAGAAGAATCAAACCTGGGACCCTTCTGTCCGCAGGCTGACACGCTAGCCGCTGAGCCACACCAGGCAGGGCTGGACTCTCCTTACTAGATGCCAGTAGCATCTCTACAGCTGTGACAAATGTCCGGTGTGTAAGGAGGGGGGTGGCGCTGTCACTTCAGGTGAGGGCCGCTGGGAACGAGACCCTTGGGGGCCTGCCTCTCAGTGTGAAGGAACCTCAAGGACTTCCAACTACTAGAACCTTCTGCATCGCAAGTGAGGAGCTGGTGACAAGGGTGCAGCATGTGTTTTAAATCCACAGACCCGTGCTCCTGAGAGGGACGTGCTTTTACAACGAAAGGGTTAACCCTGCAACATGGATGGCCCTCGACAACATTATGCCACGTGAGAGAAGCCAGGCACAAAGGCCCAGATTGTATGACTCCGTTTACACAGAAGGTCTAGAACAGGCAACTCCATAGAGACAGCAAGCACATCAGTGGTTGCCAGGGGCTGGGGGGGGGGGGGTGGGGGGGGCGGTAATGGAGGGGGTAATGGAGAGTGACTGCTAATGGGGACGGGGTTTCCTTTGGGGTGATGGGAACTTGCTGGAATGAGGTACGGTGATGGTTTCCCAGCACTTGAATATGCAAGAGCCCAGGGCATGGTGTCCTGTAGGTGAATTTTACCTCTTCAAAGAAAAACATATATATATATTTTTTAAAGATGGAACAGAATAGGGCCCGGGCCAGCGCGGCCATTTCACAGTGGGAGGGGGATGATGGGAAGGCGAGGTGCTCCTTCCAGGGAAGCGGGGGCTCAGCCTTCTCTGTGAGGAAAGGGTGAAGCCACGTGGAGCCGGAAAAAGTATGCCTGGGCTCCGAGGAGTGCTCCCTCTTAACCCAGCCTGTCAGCCTTGGAAAGAAATCGGCCGTCAGGTCGGAGGCCAGCCTTCCGACTGTGGAGGGGCTGCGGGCTCTGACGGCTGAAGTGAAATGACAGCCAGCCGCTCAGCCCAGCCCCGCACAGAGGCTGGTCCGGGGGTGCCTCCGGGTGCTCTCTGGGCGCCTGGGGGGCGGTGGGGGGCTCGCCCCGGCTCCTTGGCAGCCCACAGAGGAGCCGGCATCCTGCGGGCTGGGCCTGCGTTAGAGACAGAACCGTCAGATGGCACGGGGCCCGCGCCTCCCCTCCTGGCAAAGCGGGCAGGGGTGGGTGTGCTGGGTCCGTGCTCCACGGGCCTCAAACATCGCGTGAAAGGAGAGAGAAGGAAAGAAAGCTAAGACCCGAGGAAGCCGTGGGCCTGCAGGGGCTGAATGGTGGGTAAATGGAGACAGGCCCGCCCGGAGCCTGGGACTGTGGCCTGGTTTGGAAAAAGGGTCTTGGCGGCTGGAACGAAGTTAAGGATCTTGCAATGAGATGGTCCTGGATTCGGTGGGCCCTAAACCCAATGCCAGGTGTGCATAGAAGAGGGAGGAAGGGGAGGAGGCCGAGGGGAGGGTCACGGGAGGATGGAGGCAGAGCCACCAAGGGCCACCAGCTGCTGGGGGGCAGGAGGGACCCTCCCAAGGGTCTTTGGAGGGAGCACAGCCCTGCGGACACCTTGATGCCAACTTCTCGCCTCCTGAACTATGAGTGTCACGTCCTGGTCTGGGGTCCCTTTTCCCAGCAGCCCTGGGAGCCTAACCCAGGCCCCAACACTCAATGCCACGCACACTTACAGGTTCCCTGCAGGGGCTGGGCGTGTGCTGGGGAAGCAAACACACGTGGGTCATCGCAGGATGCTGGGAGCGCCCTTCACGGAGGAGCCCAAGCTCCAGGGGTGGCGATGGGCCGGGTGGAGGCCCGCCTGGGACCCTCCAGGAGACGTGGACGTGAAGGCACAGAGCTGGGCCCTGAGCACACCACAGCCTACAGGGCAGCAGGTCCTGCAAACACGGGACTGCCAGGTCAGAAAGACCCGCTGTGTCTGCAGCAGCGCGAGGGCCTTCGGCTCCCGTGTGGGGGGATCATCGCGGCACTCGGCCCCTTCCTTACCCATAATCCACCCTTTCCATCCGCACGTCCGTTCCAGAGGCAGGTGCTACCGTCAGCCCTTCTCCAGTGGGCTGCCGAGGCAGAGGCGCTGTCAGCCAGCATCCTCACAGGAAGCAGACAACCAGGATGGGTCAACCGAGCCGTCCAGGGAAGGGACACGTTTGCAAAGTGAGGACACATGTGGGGAGCAATGCCACGCCATGGGCCAGTGGGAATGTGGAGCCATCAGCACCCCCAGGTCCGAGGGGCGAGGGGAGGAAGCTGCTGCCAGAACCTGGAGACATACAGGCGTGGGGGTGGCGGGACCTGTGACCTCTGACCTCTGACGATGCAGGGAGTGGGGCACAGGTGTGGAGTCCCCAGGCTCAGGAGGTGGACGGGGATGGAGCAGGGTATCCAGGTGTGGGAACAGGGATGTGCAGAGAGAAGCATCATGGGTGAGAGGGGACCACACACCAGTGGGTCAGTGGGTCTGGGGCCAGGGCGGGTGTGTGTGTGTGTGTGTGTGTGTGTGTGTGTGTGTGGCGGGTGGGGGGGAGAGGGGGTGAGGTGGGGTTCAGAAGGTGAAACTGGACAGTTCGGAGCCTCGATCGGGAAGAGCCATTGGAGCTATGCTACCAGGTTTCGGCCTTGACGGGGAGAAGCCAGGGATGGCTTTGAAACAGCCGCATGACTGGCTCAGGCGGGCTGTGTCTCCCCGCCCCAGAGCTGGCTGTGGCCCAGGCTTTCCCGGGGGCCGGAGGGCCCCACAGCCCCTGTGGGGTGCGGCCCCTGTCGGGTGCCCACAGCCTGGAGGGGAGGGCGGGCGGCGCTTGTAAAGTGGGGGTGATGCTCGGGCAGGGTGGAGAGCCCAGGTTTGTGATGTTTGAGCAGCTGCGGTGTGCTCCCCGCAGAGGGTCTGGGACAGCCATAGGCCGCCTTCAGGGGAAGGGACCATGATGAGGGGAAATAAAGGGAGAGGAGAACCCAGGTGGTGGTTTTTAGGAATAAAAACGGAAAACGAGATGGATGGGCTCCAGGCAGGCAGCCCTCCGCCCAGGAGACAGAGCAGGGGTCGTGGGGTGGGTGTCCTCGGGGGTCCCAGTCCCTCCTCCCGGGACCCAGCTCCTGGCTCAGCCTCCTCCTCCCAGACTCGCCCCCGTCACACCAGCCAGAACAAGCCCACGGCCGACACGGATTCCTGACTCAGAGCCCAGCAGGGAGGGGCGGGGAGAAGCACCCATCTGTTCTCCCTCCGACGGAGCATCGTGACTCTCCCCCGTGCTCACACCCCTCCTCCTCCTCCGGCTCCTCACAGCGACAGGAGAGAAACGCTGCGAATGGGTTTCCCCTGCCGGCACCGTGTTGTCCTAATAATGGCTGTTCTCTGCCCCCGAGGGAAATATCCTGTCAGGGAATCAGGGGCAGGGGGCTTGCTGTGTGTGTGTGTGTGTGTGTGTGTGTGTGTGTGTGTGTGAGTGTGTGTGTGAGTGTGTGTGTGTGAATGTGTGTGTGAGTGTGTGTGTGAGTGTGTGTGTGTGTGAGTGTGTTTGTGTGTGTGTGTGTGAGTGTGTGAGTGTGAATGTGTGTGTGTGAGTGTGTGTGTGAGTGTGTGTGTGAGTGTGTATGTGAGTGTGTGTGTGAGTGTGTGTGTGTGAGTGTGAGTGTGTGTGTGTATATGAGTGTGTGTGTGAGTGTGTGTGTGTGTGAGTGTGTGTGTGTATGAGTGTGTTTGTGTGTGTGTGAGTGTGTGTGAGTGTGTGTGTGAATGTGTGTGTGAGTGTGTGTGTGTGTGTTTGTGTGTGAGTGTGTGTATGTGTGTGTGTGTGTGAGTGTGTTTGAGTGTGTGTGTGTGAGTGTGTGAGTGTGTGTGTGAGAGTGAGTGTGTGTGAGTGTGTGTGAGAGTGTGTGTGAGTGAGTGTGAGTGTGTGTGTGTGGTGTGAGTGAGTGTGAGTGTGTGTGTGTGGTATGAGTGTATGTGAGTGTGTGTGTGCAGTATGAGTGAGTGTATGTGAGTGTGTGTGTGTGGTATGAGTGTGTGTGTGTGGTATGAGTGTATGTGTGAGTGTGTGTGTGTGAGGGGGTGTGTGTGTGTGTGTGGTATAACTGTGTGTGTGAGTGTATGTGAGTGTGTGTGTGTGGTATGAGTGTATGTGAGTGTGTGTGTGGTATGAATGTGTGTATGAGTGTGTGTGTGGTATGAGAGAGAGTGTGTGTGTGTGTGTGTGTGTGTGTATGCAAGCTATCTCCCTTTCACCTCAGAAGATTCTGGAACATCCTGCTGAGACACCAAGTGATCTGTCTGGCTGGGTGATGCTGTCCAAAAGCCGGGTGCACCCCCCTCACCTGGACCCAGGGATTCATTCAGGCACCGCCTGAATACCAAGAACCACCGAAAGGCTTCCCTGTTTCCCCGAAAATAAGACAGTGTCTTATATTAATTTTTGCTCCCAAAGATGCGCTAGGTCTTATTTTCAGGGGCTGTCTTATTTTTCCATGAAGAAGAATTCGGTACACATTTATTGTTAAATGAAAAGAAAGGAAATGTATTACCTGTATACGGTACGGTAATACGGTAGTTGTCAACACAAACCAGACAAACTGTGAATCCTGCAGTATCAAGAATTTACTCATTTATTCAATGACAATCATGTCATCATCTTCTGGAACATCATCGTCACAATCCAATTCCTGAACTTCCTGGTGAATTTCTTGTGACTCCATTTCTTTCAGAATCAGTGGACCAAATCTCTCATGTTTAGCCTAGGGGGGGGGGCTTATTTTCGGGGGGGATGCCTCAGAAGGAAACCTGTAAGTAGGTCTCATTTTCGGAGGATGTCTTATTTTCGGGGAAACACGGTAGAAGAGGCGAGAAGGATCCTCCCCGAGCGTCCAGGTGGCCACACTGGCTTTGGCCTGCCACGCTGATCTCGGACCTCCGGCTTCCAGATCTGCGAGAGAAGACATTTCTGTGTGGCATTTCGGTTTTGCTTTGCTTTTGTTTTCTGTTTACTGTAAGCCACTGCGTTTGTGGCTGTTACAGCAGCAGCAGGAAGCAGATACATTTCCTTTCCCAGCAAAACCTTCCTGAGTTGTCCCTCTGCTCCTGTCCCTGCCCAGCCAGGGAGAGGGCTCCATCCAGCCAAGTCCCATGGCCCTTTCTCAGCCTCCGAGACCCACTGGCATAGCGGGTGGGAAAATGCTTGCAAAGTCATGTTCACTTGGAATCTCAGACGCAGCCTTATTAGGAAACCAGAGGCCTGGTGCATGGGTTCATGCACAGGGCGGGGTCCGCCCGGCCCGCCCTGATGGGGACCCATTGGGCCAAACCGGTGGGGAGAGGGGTCACAGGCAGTTATGGGGGGTGATCGGGCCCGATTGGGTGGTTGGCTGCCGCAGTGCATGTCATAGTGACTGGTCATTCTGGTCCTGCCATCGTTCTGGTTGCTTGGCTTTTATATATATAGTTAGGGCCTTTTGAGGGGTCATTAGCTAAGGATCTTGAGATGCTGGCATGTGGGCTCCAGGGTGGACCCTAAATTCAATGACCTGTGACTTCCTAAGAGGAGGAGGAGGACGCACACAAAGAAGACGGAGGCAGAGACTGGAGCAATGCAGACACAAGCCAAGGAATGCCAAGAGCTGCCTCAAGGACGGATTCTCCCCTGGAGCCTGCAGGGGAGCAGGCCCTGCCGACACCTGGATTTTGGACTTCCAGCCTCCAGACTGAGACACTGCACTCCTGCAGTTTTAAGCCTCCCAGTCTGAGGTCATTTACTGTAGCAGCCCTAAGAAACCAGCACAGCCGCAGAAGACACGCTGACTGGAGTTTGTGTGGTTTACCTGCAGGCAGTTCCGGGAAGCACCGGCAGGGAGGAGGGCAGGGGAGGCAGGGCGCTCAGTAAAGAGGGTCTGTTTTGTGATTTGAAAGCCCTCCCTGGCTGTGGAGAACCATCTTGAGAGGTTATCCTGGGACATCTAGGGTTCATCCTCGTGGAGACCACTGGGACACGAACCTCATAGTGAGAGTGCTGGGGTGTTTGTCCACCAGCTCCCAGCTGCCTCGGTGGAGGTGTGCTGGCAGCGGGAGTGGATTCTTCGGGACACCTGGCTGGCCCCGCACAGGCCTGCGCTGCCTCTGTAGCCGGAGACCCACCAGGCCAAGAGCGGCAGGTCCTGGCAGCGGGTTGATGGGCATGGCAAGAGAGAGAGAAACATGGATGTGAGATGGCCCCAAATGCCCCCGCCCTGGTGATCCCCTCCCCCTTGGGCGTGGGTGGGACTCCACGACTTTCTTCTCGCCAACAGAATGTGGCAAAGGTGATGGGATGGCACCTGGAGATTAGCTTACAAAAGGCCGGCTTCCACCTGGATCGCCCTCTCGCTCGTCTCTCGCTCACTCCGACGGGAAGCCAGCTGCCCTGGGAGAGTCCCACGTGGCAGAGAGCGAAGGAAGCCTCGGACCAATAGCTGAATCCTGCCACAGCTGGAGAGACTGGAAGCATGACGACCAGGGCCCCAGCCACCATCCTGGTTGCAGCCTGAGAGACCCAGAGCCAGAGGCACCCAGCTGAGGTCACCCCTGGATTCCTGACCCACAGAAACTGTGAAATAATAAACGCGTATTGCTTTAAGCCAGTGGGTTTGGGGATACTTTGCCTCGGGGCATAGATAACCTGGAAACGCTGAGACGTGGCAGGGGAGGCACACAGTGATGGGTAAACCATTTACTCTATCGCTCTAGACTCCCTCTTCCACTCCCAGTCCGTTATTAAACCTGTCAAATCTATCCTGGATCCACACACCTTTCCCCACCTGCTAGCCTGGTCTCTCACTTTCCTTACAGCCAGGTCTCTCCTCCCTGCCAGACTCCATCCAGATGGTTCTCCACAGCCAGGGAGGGCTTTCAAATCATAAAACAGGCCCTGGCACACGGTAAGTGCTCATAATGATAGAGCAGATTCAGGCGTCAAGGTAGGCTAGAGGGGGTCTCTCTCCTAACTTTTGAAAAGGGAATGGGAGGCTGGTCAACCTGAAAGGCTCTGAATGGCCGGAGCTAATCACTCATTGTTTACTTGAGACATTGGTGGTTAAAGCAGCCTCCACCTGTGAGTCATATGTAAATCCTTGCTGATTGTCTATTATTGGAATTTCCTGCCTGAAGGATATGGGTGTTTCCCATAGCCTCAATGAAAGGGATAGCAAGGCCTGAGCAGTGGTTAGTCCTCCCCTTAGAGGTGGTCTCCCGCCTGGCCCTCCAGTTTCCCAGATTAACTCTTTCCAGTCTCTTTTCATTTGTGTGCGGCCTTCTCCAGAACCTGAACCCTGAGGAGGAACCCTGAACCCCGAGGGACATGGAAGGGGTTCCCACAACCTGAAAGGAATGCTATCACGGAAGGTGGTTGGGCCTCTGGAGGCAGCTCCCTGGCCTGGTGTCTTCCTTCATACTCAGCGGGTGCTGCCCGCCATGCATGGAGCCAACACCTATTAAGCATTTACTGTATGCTGCTGACTTCCGAGTACCTGACAGACACGCTCTCATTTAATCTGTAAAATGACAAAGCAATCCTGAGAGAGAAGAACAAGTTCTCTGATTTCAGACTATATTACAGAGCTATAGTAGCCAAAACAGTATGGTACTGGCATTAAAACAGACATATAGACCAATGAGAGCCCATGCATATCTGGTCAGCTAATATTTGACAAGGAAGCCAAGAAGATTCAATGGAGAGAACACAATCTCTTCAACAAATGGTATTGGGGCAGGCTGGCTCCGCTGGTTGAAGCGTCATTCCATTCACCAGAAGTTTAGGATTTGATTCCTAGTCAGGGCACATAGCTACGTTGCAGATAGATATTTCTCTCTATCTCTCCCTTCCTCTCTCTCTAAAAATCAATAAAAATATATTCGTGGGTGAGGATTAAAAGGGGAAAAAATTGTCTGGCTTATTGGTTAAGCATTGACTTACGAACCAGGAGGTCATGGTTCGATTCCTGGTCAGGACACCATGCCCAGGTTGCAGACTCAATCCCCAGTAAAGGGTGTGCAGGAGGCAGCTCTTTCATGGATGTTTCTCTCTCCCTTTCCCTCCCTCACTCTTAAGTAAAAAAAAAAAAGGGGGGGGGGGGTGAAGCCCTAACCAGTTTGGCTCAGTGGATAGAGCGTCAGCCTATAGACTCAAGGGTCCCAGGTACGATTCCGGTCAAGGGCATGTACCTTGGTTGCAGCACATCCCCAGTAGGGGGTGTGCAGGAGGCAGCTGATAGATATTTCTCATCTATGTTTCTCTCTCTCCCTCTCCCTTCCTCTCAAAAAAAAAAAAAAAAAAAAAAAAAAAAAGTCAATAAAATATATATATTTAAAATGGTGGGAGAGGGGATTAATACAATAAATAAATAAATAGTGCTGGGAAAATTGGATATTCACAAGCAAAAGAATAAACTAGACCACCGCCTTATACCACTCAACAAAAATGAACTCAAAATGGATTCAAGACTTAATCCTTGAAATGATCTTATCAGGCAGTACTGCCATTGTCCCCATTTTACAATCTGGGAAACCGAGGCACTGGCAATAAAGCTGCTTGCCGGAGGATGACTCAGACGGTCCCAAGTGGGTCTGGAATTTCAACCCCAGCGCTGGGCCCTTCACTGAGATTCAGCTTGTGCGTCCCGTGTGTGAACTCTCTGCTCTGGACCAGCGGGGCATCTCAGAGACCTGAGTGGATTCACACCCCTCGGCTTTGTCCATACGGTAGTTCTGTCTGGCACCAATGAGGGCTATTCCCTGCCTGCAGGGAGGTGCCAGTCTACCCGGGGAGCCTTACATCCTCATTAGTGACAGCGGCCGCCTGAGCCTGCGTTGTGGGCTCCTGCGATGCATTCACTCTCCCTGGAGAGATTCCGGAGGGCTTGGAAGGCGTCCGCCGGTGGAAGAGGGGCCTCACAAAAGCAGGACCCTCCTTGCTCACCGCTGTGCCTGGGCCTGCGGAGGGCGCTGCCCACGTGAGGTCCTGGAGCCAGGCAGCAGCAGGCGGGCCTGGGGGAGACATTTGCTCTGTGTGTTCCTACCTCTGGAGCCTCCTGGATGAGCCTCCGGTGGCTGCTGTAACCAAGTACACAACCTGGGGCTTCCCTCTACAGAAACGTACTCTCCCACGGTGCTGGAGGCCAGAGTTCTCTCTCAACAATATATATCCCAAACCGGTTTGGCTCAGTGGATAGAGCGTCGGCCTGCAGACTGAAGGGTCCCAGGTTCGATTCCGGTCAAGGGCATGTACGTTGGTTGAGGTCACATCCCCAGGAGGGGGGTATGCTGGAGGCAGCTTATCGAT